GCAGCCAGGTGGTTGAACTGCAGCCTTTTCAACCACAAATTCATATTCATTTATTTTATTTACAGAGTAGTAGTAACTTTGTTTTAAAAACATGGATATAATTTTGAAAAAATTAAGAACAGGTACATATTTTATTATTTTAATTTTGCACCAGTTATTAAGATATAAAAAACCATTAAAAAATTCATTCTAATTTGAACACCCTGTGCCCCCGGAAAGGGGCTGTTTGAAAAACCGCTACATATTTGTTAAGTTATTTTATTTACAGATATTTATTTGTATAGAAATCAGGCTTTTTGTGAGGATTTTCCAGCGAGACACCTGATAACCCTCCTCGCACGTAGTTTTAAGCCGCGTGTGTGCACTATACGAAAATTACCGTTCGTAATTTTAACTTTTTACTATCCGATATAACAAACTACTATTTGTATGCACGTACGTGTGTTTTTGTGTACTATTCGTAAGTTTACAATCCGAGTTTTTCATTTTATTGTCACATCTATGTCCGTAGGTTTTTACGAGTATATTTACAAGGACCACTCAGGACAAATCATCTTTTGATTTGGTAAGTCTCACCCTCGATCAAGGCGTCATTAGATGGATCCTAGTACTCTACTCTGCTGGGCAGCGTTCGGGAGATTGCGACATATTATCTCATCACTTAATCCTAAAAACTTAAACAAAATTGTAAAACTCATGGGTGTTGCCAGATTATATATATGAGGTTCGATAATTTTGCTTCTAATTCTAGGAACACCTACTTTTTATTTTTAAACGTTTTGACATCACACTCGAAATTCCCAAAAAAAATGGTTTACACAAAAGATTTAAAAATTCTATCCATTGCAGACATCAAAATGAAAATAAAACAAGCCAAACTCAGCCACTGCGCTACCTCGCCGATAACGTAACTTTAAGTTGTCTACGTCAATTACATAAAAACTGCATTTGGATGTATGTCACAGCACCATTTTAGCGCTATTCCATGACCTGGATATAATGCATTATTGTTCACGCAACACCAGTTTGTTGCTTTATTTTTGCCTTGTTGTTGTCTTTTGATTGGATAAAATCGATTTCAATTCGATGCTACTGTAATTAAGTATCAACTATGCATACAAATTTAATCGCGTATTATTTGGAACTAGCAATCCGCCCTGGCTTCACCTGGATAGAACCTATTTATGTCCATTTTTTGGATAAAATATAGCCTACATCAAGACATGTGTCTATCATGAATGATTCGTTCGTTTGAGCTGGCACACTTAAAAGTATTAATGGTTGACTCATCTGTTTTTCAATGTTTCGGTACAACCAATCACAAACAATTGACGGAATCTTTTTAACACGTGATTGGTGTGAATTATGAATGAGTCAAAAACCGACCGAATCCCGAATGATCTGAATGAATTGTTTTTAGTGTAGGGTACAGTGTCGGTTCCCAATGGATCTCACAGACTTAGAGAGTACTGGAGCCCGATATGAGCCATTTGAATGATCGATCCGAATGTACCGGTACGCGTGACGAAATGTACTATAATAATTCGGTCACGAGAAATGAATGATTGACACATGTGTACCTACATCCTTCCTAGCATTGCTCTCTATCTGTTCTTAAATCTGTTTCATCACAATCAGTTCAGCCATTCCGAAGATTAGCGCGGACAGACGGACAGATAAAAATGTTTAAAATTTGTTAATTATGTTAAATAGCATACAAGTAACCCCCTAAGATTAACAGAAGCCTAGCAAACTGGAATCTCTCGGTTTCCAGTCGGTATTCCAGTTTGCTCAGAACATTATAATGGATAACGTCTTATCTAAGTGGGCGTTGACAAAAAGTTGTCATCAATAAAATAATTAATAGTGAAATGAGTTCAGTTTCGTCTGAATATAGAGAATGCAGCTCTGGCGACCCACAGGGAAGTGTATTAGGACCCATTCTATTTATACTTTACATTAAAGACATAACAGAAGTAATAAAACGTCAATGTACTTTATATGCTGACGATATATCCATAATTGTTGCATCTAATAAATCTATGTATAACTATTGACGAAGACGTGAACTGGAAAACACATATAGACCATTTGTGTAACAGAATTAATCAGTTCGTATATGCTCTTAACTCAGACGAAATAAAAACTCAAGACAGAGCCCCGTCGAACAACGCACTGAGGCAGGTAAAACTACGCCTCGCCTTGTACATACACAGTTTCACGCACACAAATATATCGAAACTACGCCTTAGCTTCTCATTCGAGCTATTCCAGCGCACAGAGTTTCACGTTATAATAATTGGCAGTTTTTAAAGAAAAAATGCCGAATTGTGTTGTGAAAGAGTGTAAAAACCAATCTTCCAGAAATAAAAAACAGGATGGAATCACATTTCATACGTAAGTATACATAAAAATCCAAATTTTTAATTAATCATTTTTATTATTTATTCTGACAGCTTGGAACATAAAACGTCGACAAGTGTTGCCACTAGTGAGCGTCACAGTAGTCCCCATTTATTCGGTAATTTATTAATGTGACGCGAAACTTAATGTAATTCTATTTAATGTATTTCTATTTTACTTATAATATTTATAAAATTATTGTAGTGTAAATACGCATTATTTTTTTTTGTTTTTTCATGTTTTATCATCACTTCAAAAATCTATATTTTTAAGATTCCCCATCCGAAATAAATACATTATCGGATATATATATCAGGAAGTAAAGCGCATTACTTGTCAAGGGTCATAAAGTGTCAAACGTGGCTAGCTCGCTTACAGTCGGATGAGATATTGGACTTAATTGGACATAAACTGATATCTTTAAAAGATAAAGGTGGCTTAATCTTTCCGTCGAAAGAGCTTTTTGAAATTTGCGTAATTTTTGAAACTGTTGTACGTAAATTATGTAATGAAAGCGTAGTGATAGTTACTGAAAATCAACACAAATCAGTTGTTATTAATATTTCAAAACGATTTATTGATACTGACAACGTTTTCTCTAAATTGGAGACTGAGTACAATTATGCTGGTCAAGAGCATAAAATAAGTTTAATAAGATGCATAATTGAAAAATATTTATCAATTCGTTTCCACCATATTTCTAAATTGGAAACAATTTCCAACACGGTGGACAGTAAACGGCAATATTTCAAAAAATTGACTCAACAAAAAGGTTATTAAAATAAAAACATGTTTCTTTATATTACTATTGTAATAATATATTTTTCCACTTCTTAGTCGAAATAAACATACTTACATACATAATAAATTACTTAATATAATGGATTTCCGCAAAGTAACGCCTGATTCTATCAATTATACTTACATACTACTTCTTAAAGTGAGGTATACAATTGAAAAAATTGCCAACTTTTTACTTATCAATTCATCCTGATAGTACTTAGACAATAATATATTAGGGTAATAAATTCTTACTGCACAGCAACACTCGCTTAGTGCACACATGTTTACCAAACCGACCTCACTTCTTTGTTGACAGTGCTCTGTCTTGAGTTTTTATTTCGTCTGAGGCTCTTAAACGTGTTAGGAATGTTACCGACAAAAAGACCGCTATAATGTTCTATCGCGCCTACATAGAATCGATATTGCGCGGATCCCACTATGGGGCAACAGTACGGACAAAAACAGAGCATTTATCGCCAAAAAATGCATCAGGGCCATATGTGGAGTTTTACCTGACGTGTCCTGTAAACCACTGTATAAAAGTCTAGGATTATTGCCACTACCTTTACTTTACATTTATGAAGTTGCGGTTTAGATTGAGAGATCCTCACAGAATAATATACAATGACATTCCAAGGTCCGATAAGTATGCAAAAAGATGCATCTGTACTGTGTGTTGTATAAATGGCTAAGTCAGAATAACTTTCACAGCATAGATTCGTTTCTCTGCACCAAAAACTTAACATAAATTAATATACATTGATTAAAACTACTTTTACGGATTTTATCGCGTTTTATTTATATTAATGTTAATACCCGACGTTTCGGGTGCTTTCCAGCACCCATGGTTACGGGGGACTGAGGGTCCCATGTCAAAGTTAACCCATACCTTCTTTGACATCGGTGACCGTTATTATGCACAATTGGTGTATTTCGCATTATTGCGTATGATTGACTGTGCGTATCGTTCATACGCGCTTATTGGCTCTGCAGTCGCATTCCGTCCCCCTTACTGATACGTCATTCGCAGCTATCCCTCCACGTTTACGTGCCGCGAGTTATACTTAGACGAGCTCTGCGGCCTCAAAATACATTGCGCACTAAGTTACAGTCAATTCTCCTTAACTCCTTTAATCGACTACGAGCGAGCGAGAAGACTAGTCCTTTGATTTGTAAACCGCGAACGTTGTTTTCGATAATCAAACACTGATTTAAATTAATGTGACTAAGGAAACGCTGTCATTATTTATGTGTGCGCAATTTCAACGTGATTTGAAGTTTATTTCAAATAAGTATGTATGAACATAACTTAAATGGTATATTTACCGTGCCCGCATCCGCGTGATCCACAGAAGTCTTTTTTGACAGTACATAAAATAGTTGACATGAGCGTCAACTACCCTCATTGTTTTACTTGTCATCAGAATGCGACGATTATTTAAGACGTCTTTTTGCTCAATCATTAATAAGCTGCGAGTACAAAGCTTACATATAGAGTCAATTTCACACACATCCAGGTGACGCAGTTTTTTATTGCATATTAGCTGATTGCTCGGCATGTACCTTAACAATACTATTATTCATATTTTAGACTAAAAATTACCTGTATTGATGTTCTTATGGTTGTCATTAAATTGAAAATTACACCAAGTGGCTTCTAAAATAAAAATATTGTAATGTTGCAATCTTTTTAGCATGTTTTAATCATCACAACTTTGCCGTTAAATTCGACACAAACAAAAACTGGCCGCATTGAATAGTTTTAAATTGTAATTTTTACTTAAAGCATATTTTAATTGTTATAAACCTTTCAGTCCACATGTATCGCCAGAAACTACAAATCCGTCTACATCGAGCCTTCAGACGACGCTCGCGGAAGAGACAGACAGCATGAGAAAAGATGAAGAGGAGTCAAATGGAGAGAAGGAAAAAGAAGGGTCCATATCGGACTGGATCTCTGGAGGACCGATTGGTTCTAAAGGAGCCGTCCTTATATTTAGATCTTGCGTTCTTGCGTCTAGAACCCCCTCAACGGAAACAACGAGGACGGTAGGAAATAACACTGGAAATAATATTTTGTTAAATAAAGCTAAAAATATGGCTAAAAGACTAGTATCCGAACCCCACTCCTTAAGCGTTAGACCAAAAAATATCATGCACGATGTTATGGAGACTTTTGGAACCGTTAACAAGTTTTCCGGGCAAGCGTATGTTGTAAGGCATGTTAGTAACACTGATGTTCCGGAAGCAGTTCAAGTAGAGGAACAAGGACATGAAACTGCGGAACACAAAAGAGATATAGATGACGTGCTTAATGATCTCAGTAAAATAACACTCAAGAAGCATTTAGACATCGAAAACAGAACCGCTAACATCAAACCAGCCGACGATCCACCGCCGAACGATAAAGGTGAATAAACTTAAATTAAAAGATATTTTGCTCTACATGCTACGTTTACAATGTCCTACAGACCGAAGTTTGTTCAAGGCGTTCAGCCTCAATAGATACTAGCCATCGGCGTAGAACAGGATCATAGTGCCCGAGTGTATGCGTAAGCACCGGTGCATTCTCTATTCCCTCACTCTCGTAGTCCGATGGGATGATAATCCGACACGACCGGGAAAGAAAGCGCAGGGCCAACGGCTTTACTTGCTTTCCGAGGCACTTTTGTGAAAATCGCCAATTTCCTGACCCTGGGCTACTAATGAAAATTTGTTCACAGAAAAACCTCATAACTGATTTATGGCCCTACCCGGGATTCGAACCTAGGCCCTCACGATCACCAACCGTGTTTACGATCACTAGACCAACGAGGCAGTGGGTCATATTATGTATATAATAAATAGGATAAGCAAACATTACAAAATATATTTCTATATCAAATATTATTGCTATATTTTGAGAAGATGATGTTATGACCAGGATTAAGAAAGGAATGCTTTGGTGGTTTGTTCATGTAGAAAGAATGAATGAGGAAAGAGTGACAGCAAATTTATATGGCAGATCGGGAAGGGACGCCCTAGAAGAAAGTTTATCGACCAAATTGGCGATATTTTGAAAATAGGCCACCATTACAAGTACCCTTAACCGACGGGCGTGTATGCGTAGATATATGGATGTAAAGGAGTTGAGAGAGGTATGTCAGGATCGCGCCGAATGGAAGTCCATAGTCTCTGCCTACCCCTCTGGGTGACAGGCGTGAGTGTTTTTTTTATTATTATTTATATTTTTAGAAAACAAAGAAGATAAAAAAATCAAAAAAATGAAAGGAAAGACCAAACACAAATCCCCTCAAATCAAAAGAAGCTTATCACCGCAAGATAGTGAAGACTCTGAAAATGTATTATTAGTAAAAGAAGTTAATAATATTAAGGTAAACATAATTTCTCTAAATTTTTACAATCCTGGTCTTAATTGCAAGATCATGAGCTTTAACTTCTTCAGGTACTAGAATGTGGTAATATGCCAGCTAATATTCTAAAGATCTCCTACAAGTTGGTGAATACGGAGACCAAACTTCTGCATCGATTGTTGCAAGCACACGGGCTACGGGAGGCGCCAGCAGATTCTAAGGATTTTACTTTGTTGTGGGCTGGACTACATCCAAAGCCTGACGTCTTGAGATCGTTGACTCCATATCAGAGAGTAAATCATTTCCCTCGGTAAGCTTCAAATATTCTTTCATTTTGCTAACATATTTTAGAAATTGACGTGGTAGAGCCACGCTGCATCTATATTATGGTTGTAGCACGAATGCGTCGGTTCGACCGAGGAAGGACCACGCTTTCACAAGACCGGCGTAAAATATCATCTTAATACTGTCGTGTTTCGTATGATGTGGAGAACCGGGAACCCTTTTTACTGGATAAAAGGCATTTTATCTTAGTGCTCAGGGGTGACAACGCATCTGCATTTTGTTTTTTAATCGAGAATAAATGTGGATGTCTATGGGCCACAGCGTCCAATTACCATTACGTGGACTGCTCGTTAGTCACCCTTATTCTATAAAAAGAAATGTTTACGCTTTTGCTGTCCTAATTGTTAGCATAGTTACAGCCTATATATGTCCCACTCCTGGGCACAGACTGCTCATTTCTGACAGGGTTTTAGGGCAAGGAATAGTCCGCCGCGCTGCCCCAATGCGTGTTGGCGAACTTCACATGTCTTCGAAATATTTTTTTTCTTATTTCTCAGACATGCAGGTTTCCTCACGACGTTTTCCTTCACCGCCGAACACGTGGTAAATCAGCACTTAAAATTGCAATTAACAATTTCATTGGTGCCGGCGGAGATCGAACCCGGTTTGTTAGCGTACTGTGAAATTATCAACGAGCGCTAACCATCTGAGTCACCACGGCTCCTAAAAGTCTTTTCATACAAAATTAGTTTAATAAAGTTTTTGAACTTTGATGATTGATTGGGATAGACAGATAGGAGCGGTGTCAAGACTTTGTTTTAATATGTTTTGGTTGATTAGTAAGTACTTCCAAACATCCTGATTGGTCCTAATTGTTAATCTCTATATAATCCTCATGTTTCATTGTTTACGTATATTTATTATATTTATTCTTAGATCATACGAACTGACCCGCAAAGACAAGCTGTTCAAGAACATAGAGAAGATGCAGTACTTCCGAGGCATGAAGAACTTCGACTTCATACCCACCACTTTTCTCATGCCTACGGAATACAAGGACCTGTGTACGGCACACTACAGAACCAAGGGTCCGTGGATCGTGAAACCCGCGGCCTCCAGCCGGGGCCGAGGGATTTACATCGTTAACAACGTAAGTTGTTAGTGTTGACGGAATAAACACAACATGGCCTCGCAAATTTGAAAAATATTTATTTATTAAATGAGATCAAAATTCATAAAGAGTGAAATATTTGGTGCACAAATACTTCGCAAACAAGTATATAATAAAATAATATATACTTAAACTAACTTAAGAATATATTGGATAAACTTAAATAGAACAATTACAGATTCGAAACCAAGGATACGTATGCTTGCTTTACATGCTTATATCGGTTATTTCAACTGCTAGCCTACTAAATAATAATAACAATAATAATTGGTGGTCAATTTAACGTAAATATTAAATTTTATTTTATTTAGCGAAAATATAACTCCTACCTGTTTAGCCTTTTTTAATCCAATTTAAATCCACGGAGGCCTTCACAAGAGTAACATTGGTAAATTAATTTGTCATTTAAATACTCGTAGTGTTTGACTTTCTCCATCACTACTCGTACTTGTACTCGTATAGTATGTTGTATCGTGTCACATTGGAATTGAAAATTTTACTAATTTTTTTCTTTAGTCGAATACTATCTACCCTATTAGTACGTAATGTAATTTTTATAGGATAAGAAGGGTGACAAACGCGCACACAGTCCACCTGATGGTAAGTGGATGCTGTGGTCCATAGACATTTAACCTCGCTTAAGAACCAAAATGCAGATGCTTGGTCACCATTGAGGACTAAGATGAAATGCCTCGATTCCAGTAAAACTGGTCTCCGGTTCCCTACACTCACCATACGAAACACAGCAGCAATTAAGCTGCTATTTTACGCTGTTATTCTGTGAGACCGTGGTCGAGCCGACCCATTCATGCTGCAACCATAATAGCTGCAGTGTAGCTCTACCACGTATCCAATTTTCTTTCACAAACTAAAAAATTTAATTTCACAGTAATGTTTTTGAACAAAGTGAATGAACATAGTTGCTCCATTGTTTTTTTTGCTTTCCATATTTCAGCCGGAGCAAATACCAAAGGGCGATAACGTGGTCGTAGCGAAGTACATAGACAAACCACTCTTGATAGGTGGTCACAAATGCGATTTGCGGCTGTATGTGTGCGTGACCTCGATCGACCCTTTGCTCATATACCTCTACGAGGAGGGCTTAGTCCGCTTCGCTACGGTCAAGTACGACAAGACTAACAAGAACCTGTGGAACCCCTGCATGCACCTTTGTAACTACAGTATCAACAAGTACCACACGGATTACATCAAGTGAGTGAATTTGATGAATATGATCTCGTTATTGTAAATTTAGGTGACCTAATATGTCTTAATGCTATCATAATTATACTATCTTAGTTTGATTCTGGCCATTTTATACTGAACCATCAAGGATATGTAAGCGTAAATGCAAAACTGGGGTAATCAAAACATTTCTTATCATTAATGATCGCGGAGAAGTTTTTGGACAAAAACCAAAAGGTTTTTTGTGCGTTCATGGACTTGGAAAGGGCCTATGACAGAGTGGATAGGGATGTGCTATGGCAAACACTGAACTCATTTGGGTTGAGCGCTGACTTGATACAGGCATTGGAGTCTCTTTATAGGGACTCTAGTGCTTGTGTTAGGATCAACGGGGTCTACTCGGACTGGTTTGACATCCATAAAGGTGTCAGACAGGGCTGTGTGGCTTCCCCGTGGCTGTTCAACCTATTTATGGACAGTTGTTTGCAAAATTTGAAAGTTGAAGAATGCGGATTAAGAATGGGTGAGTTAACCGTCAAATGCCTTTTGTACGCCGATGATCAAATTATTCTTGCGTCGTCGGCGGCCGAGTTGCAAATGATGGTTACATTAATGAACAGATCATTAAAAGAAAGGGGTATGAAAGTGAACGCAAGTAAGACGAAAGTTATGGTTTTTGAAAGAGAAGAAAGTAAAACGATTTGTGAAATAAGAATAGAAGGGGAGTTAATCAAGCAAGTAGATGAGTTTGTATATTTGGGCTGCGTATTTAGCAGGGATGGGAGATATGATAAGGATATAGAACGACGAGTGAATGCGGGAAATAGAGTAAATGGGGCCTTGCACTCATTGTGAAGAGTCAAAATGTGTCGAAAAAGGCACGTATGGCAATTCACAATGCTGTGTTGGTCCCTACTTTAACGTATGGTAGTGAAAGTTGGGTGTGGCAGAAGAAGCACGAGAGTAGAATGAACGCAGTAAAAATGCGGTCCTTAAGGAGTATGTTAGGGCTGAATCTGAATGACAGGGTAAGAAATTGTGTAATAAGAGAAGAGTGTGGTTTGCAAGATGATGTTGTGACCAGGATTAAGAAAGGAATGCTTCGGTGGTTTGGTCATGTGGAAAGAATGAATGAGGAAAGAGTGACAAAGAAAATTTATGTTGCAGAAGTGAATGGCAGAGTCGGAAAGGGACGTCCAAGGCGAAAATTTATCGACCAAATTGGCGATTTATTGAAAACGGGCCAAATTAGGAGTACCCTATAACCGACGAGCATGTATGCGTAGGTGTATGGATATGAAGGAGGCGAGAGAGGTGTGTCAGGATTGTGCCAAATGGAAGTCTGTAGTCTCTGCCTACCCCTCTGGGTGACAGGCGTGAGTGTTTATGTATGTTTATGTTCTTATCATTAAAACAGCCTAAAAAGCAACTGATGAACATAAGTCTTCTCCATAGCATCTTCCTGATAACAATTCTAAATAATAAAACATTTCTTGGTATATTTCAATAGTGAGGATCGGCTTAGTAGCCAAATCATCCATCGCAAGTTTATAAACCGGTTGTTGACTTCACACGTGCATTGTTTGTGATAGCCAAAATTGATTTATCAGTATACATGATGCTACTTCTAAACTATTCTCAATTATTTTAATATATCTGTTTATTAATAAAAGAAAAATAATAAAAAAGTATAGAAGTGGAGTACCACAAGCATCAATTTTAAGACCGTTGTTGTGTATTATGTTTTCGTTTTGTGCCAATAATTTATAATTTCTGTCTTAGACCAAAGAACGATACGCACGCACTTTCTGAACACATTTTTCTATAACATCTCATATTGAGAGCATAAAATTTACAACAAATTTTATTCCAAATATTTTTTCATGCGCTCAACCGTTTTTGCGGTAGTGGGTCCGGGTGGTGAGCGCGCAGCGCTCAGCTATACGTATTATAAGACAATTTTCTCTTAAAAGGGTCTGCGGTTTCTACACTAACTACGAAATATAGAAGCATTAGGCTATTATATCATGCTGGTATTCCGTGAGAGCGTAGTCCTTATTCGATCGTGCCAACCTATGGGTGCAAAACTATAATATAGCTGCATCGTGGCTCTACTACGTGTAATTTTTACCTTATCGCTAATACCACATTCGTCGTAACACATCCACTATTCATCCACTACTAAACATCCAAATTAAACGTCATATTACAATTACAACAGTATACAAAGTCCCCGCGTTTTATCTTAGCTGGGCTGAAGTTAGTTGCGAGTGGTTGCTCAGTCCTGAGGGGTGTTAATGCATCTGCATTTTGATTTTTAATCGAGCGTAGATGTAGATGTTTGTATGCCACATTATCTATTTACCATTTGGATAGTGTGCTCGTTGGTCACCCTTATTCTATAGTAAATTAATAATGAGGAGTGTACCAATATATTATTTAAATAATATAGTTGCGCTTTACCGCGATACATAAGTATACAGGTGTATTATATCGTTACGCGTATATCGCTTATTTTAATTTTACCATGTTTTTATTAAGTCACTTTTTTTGTTTGCCTGTCTGTTATTCGGGGTGGATATAAGCACGTAATTGATTTAAGCCAACTTATCGATAAGCTGGAAATTCGAAATTTTGAATATAGCCCAAATTCGGATGACAATGCAATAATGTGATAAAAAAGCGTGGTATATTTATTTTTTAATAAAAATCTTTCAAAATTTCAATTGTTTTTTTTATACTGACTTTGTTAAGGAATGTGGTATTAGTGATAATTAGGTGTCGTTGTGTGTGCGAGATGATGATAGTGGTGGGGCGGCAGGTGCTCGGACCCGGTGGCGGGCGACGTGGGGCACAAGTGGACGCTGTCGGCGCTGCTGCGCACGCTGCGCGCGCAGGGCCGCGATACGCGCGCGCTCATGGCGCGCGTGGAGGAGCTGGTGGTCAAGGCGGTGCTAAGCTCCGCGCACACAATGGCGGCCGCCGCGCGCGCCTTCGTGCCGCACGCCTTCAACTGCTTCGGTGACTCCACATTGCTTCCCAAAGTTCAAACACTTCTATGTAAACTACAGGACAGGCTCTGTGCCCTTAATACATTGCGCACTCAATTACGGCCATTCTCAGTAAATTATTTAGGCGGGAAGATTAGATCTTTGTTTTGGAAACCGCGAACGCTGTTTTCGACAATCTTTGTTTATTGTCACTAAGAAAACGCCGTGTTGCGTTCTACTATAAAATGAAACTCAACAGTGTCAAACAGCCCGGGCCTATCAAAGATTTGAATGTGAACGGCTGAGCCCAATAAATCACACTTGTTCAAGACATAGAAGATGTGATATCTTATATTAAATTCGTTACACATTAATTATTTTGCATTCTTCTTTCAATAAAAGATACATACATTTTTAAATTTCTTGAGACATATGGAAATACGATTAAAAGTTTAAAAGACAACATTTTCATTTTGGAAAGGAATTAAACACCCAAATTACCCAAAAGCTTCTGCCGCAACAAGGATCAAGATGTTCCAAACACTGCCATAATTTATGCGCGCATTTTGTCTACATGATTTGTAGTTTATTTCAGATAAATATATAACTTTATTTCGTAAATACCTTAAAATATTAACTGTCGTAAATGTAAATTACAACTGCGTGCCATATTTACCGTGCCAACTAACCGCCCGCGCGATTACAGCTGCGACATGGTTTTTGTTATGAATTACCGCTGTAGCAGTCTTCTTTATAGAATGAGGGTGACAAACGAGCACACAGTTCACCTGATGGTAAGTGGATGCTGTGGCCCATAGACATTTTATATTTATCATCGATAATCACCCGTGAGGACTAAGATGGAATGCCTCGTTTCCAGTAAAAAAGGATCTCCGGATCTCTACACTCACCATACGAAACACGGCAGTATTAAGCTGCTATTTTACTCTGGTATTATGTGAGAGCGTGGTCCTGCCCCGGTCGAGCCAACCCATTCATGCTACAGCCATAATGGAGCTGCAGCGTGGCTCTACCACGTATAAACAAGTATACAATATACATAAGTCTGACATAACCCGCCTTATTACTAAAACTACTTCATACTTAGTATTTCGTTTAAACTAGTCTGGTTCAGTAAACAAGCTCAATGGATTTGTAAAGCAAATGTCAAATTTCGCTGAGACAGTCACGCCGCGGTTAAGGAACTTTTTTAGTTAGAAGGACCATTCTTAAACCAGAATTAGTTTAAACCCGAGATTGTAAATCGGCCACTTTTTCTAAGATTGAATATATAAAGCTGAATATGTAAAGCTGCTAGGATTTTGTCGCTAAGACAGTGCGTTTTACAATCTCAAGTATTGGCTTATTATAATAAATTAAAAAAAAATCATTCTTAGAAATCAGTTTTTTCTTTACATAAAGATTTAATTTTTCTGAATCTTTTGATATGGACTAAGAAACATCACAAGCTCAATGTAACAACCAGAATGCCGTCTAAACTATTTTTAATAAAATTATTCTTCCCTTATATTCTTATTCTTCCACCCGTAGTGGTGGTATCTTTTCTTAAAATTCACGTACCCTTGAGGTTGGGGAGGAGCTATTTAAAAATAATAATTAAAATAGATTTCCTTATTATTCATCCTTTTTTGAAATCGACAAAAAATGTCATAATTAAACTTCAACAGTGATAAGTTTATAATGAAATGGCGTGTCTTATTTCATTATGAACTTATAATAAAGTTTAATTAATTACATTTCAGAACTCTTCGGTTACGACATCCTTATAGATGACAACTTGAAGCCGTGGCTGCTAGAAATCAATCTATCTCCCAGGTATAAATAAAAAAATTGTTACCTTTGAATAATTCAAATAAAGTTTTATCAAAGATGTTATATGTTTTGAGTACTTACACTTTGTTTTATACATACACTGTCTTATTACAAGAAATAGTTTACATCTTAGATGTTTCAAGAAAGAAATACCGTAGACAATATACGAATATGAGAACAGAAGAATATAAATAATCTAATTAACTAATTTATCATTTATTTATTACATCATCTTTCATCATCACCAGTGTTAGATGCTAACCCCTACATCGTTTTGGTCCTTCGAGCCGGATTTGAACCAGTGACCTGTGGATATCAATACATAAATAACTCATTTAAATATGGATTATCTAAGTCAGTAAGATTCTCCCTAAAACAGGGCTTAAATCTAAGGCTCAATAAACTACGTTTTGTAATAATGCAGACAGACTTATATACTTAGAAGTGAAAGACACATAAAATTTATCTTTTGAAGATTTTCTTTAAAAGTCGTTGCTAAGCATTATTGAGTTGTAACCTTGATATCCTTAAAGCCTAATATTACTAAATGAAACATTACTCTATGACGGTTGCTTCCAGCTTGGCGTGTGAAAGTCCGTTGGATGCTCGAGTGAAGTCTGCACTGCTGGCCGATACCCTGACTCTAGTGGGGCTGCCCGCTGTGCCCTCTGCGGGGCAGGAATCTGCCTCAAACAATAACTCGCTCAAGATGAGGATCGGCGCTGTAAGTACCATGATTAAGAGTCTTCTTTCTCTAAAAATCAGTTGTGCTCTTTAGTTCTGATTTCTGAAAGTTGTTGTTTTCATTTACGTGAAATAGACTGCAAATGAATTGAGGATTTAACTGTGTCGTGATGAGTGAATTCAGTTCCCTATTTTAACCGTAGTTTTTGTTAATCTGATTTGGTTATTGAAATGAAGTTAAACGTTAAAAATAAGAAATTTGTTGTAAATATAACACATAATCCCTTAGTGCAATGAATTTTTAAAATATTATAAATATTATGTCCTGACCCTGGTGTCGATTTAAGGGAAATTACATAGAATACTATAATACATAAATAATAGAAGTCCGTGTAGCCACTAACATATCAGTTCACACCTATAAATGTCAAAACAGTTAATCGTTTCCAAAAATGGCAAATTGTGCAATAATTACGTGTCGAAAGAACAGCGGGAATTGGAATTTAAGTAAAGGAGATATCCTACAACCAGTAAGTCAAAACTATTTATATTTTGTAAATATTAGAAACAAAAATAAAGAAATATTGATGTGTCAAAAACATTAATCTATATATAAATAAGTCTAAAAGTGTAAATTCGCTCTGTCTGACAACACAGCGAATCGAGTTTGTAGTAGTGATAATACGACGTAATTTCTTCTATGTGTGCTCCCGGCGACGCCGATCCTCGTACAACATAAGGTTGACAGCCATTTAATTGTGTATTATAGTATTCTATGGGAAAATCATTAACTACATGTATAATTTTAATCAGAATTCATTAAAAGAATCTTTATTGTTTCCAATACAGATTAAAATAAAGTGAAATTGCCTGGAAATTGTTTCATGTTACAAGTGTCAATTCGTTTATCAAGTGTTTTTCTTACTGTTATTTTACGTGGTAGAGTCATGCTGCAACTATATTATTGGTATAATTGTAGCGGGAATGGTTCGGTTCGACGAACGGAAGGACCACGCTCCCAAAGAATATTAGCGTAAAATAGCAGCTTAACGCTGTTGTGTTTCGTGTTATAAGTGCAGAAGATCGGAGACCCGTTTTACACGAAATGAGGCATTACACCTGAGCCTTCAGGGGTAACAACGTCTGTGCATTTTGATTCGTGATCGAGGATAGATGTAGATGTCCATAGGCCACAGCAACCACGTACCATCAGGTGAACTGTGTGCTCGTTTGTCACTTTTATCCTATAAAAATATGTTAAAGAAGACGTGAAGGACATAAATATTTCGTCTTATTACAAAATGTGCATTATTATAAATAGTTAATGGTTTAAACTGTGATCTAAGAATTTTGTTTTGTAATAGAAGTCCCATACCCGCGGCGCCTCAGTCTTCGTGAAATTCAATATTTGCTGTCAAATTTCTTTTGTAAACAGACTTTCGTTTAAACCTCATACTCGTACTATTTATTACTTACTTTTTTGTTATAAGATGGCTCATCTAAAGGCTACTCTTTTACTTCTTTAATTCTCCTAGGTTTGACTGGTAGAGAATGCCCATAAGGCATTAAGTTCGCCCATTGGAACCTTAAGATTAAGGTTTATCCACCACAATAGGGATTATATAAATAAATATATTAAGATGGTAAATTGGCGCAGTGTCGGCGCGTGCACTCCGCGGAGAACGTGAACGGGCGCGGTGGGGGCGTGGCAGGGGCAGGGGTAGGGGCAGGGACAGGGTTAGGCGGGGGCGGCGCGCTGTGCGGGGAGGAGCTGCGGCTAGTGCGGGCGGTGCGCGCGCAGTACGCACGACGCGGCGGCTTCGTGCGCATCTTCCCCTCGCAGAACTCCTGGCAGAAGTACGCGCAGTACCTCGGTCAGTACACACTCACACACCTGCACCTGGTGTGGGCGGTGCGCGCGCAGTACGCACGGCGCGGCGGCTTCGTGCGCATCTTCCCCTCGCAGAACTCCTGGCAGAAGTACGCGCAGTACCTCGGTCAGTACACACTCACACACCTGCACCTGGTGTGGGCGGTGCGCGCGCAGTACGCACGGCGCGGCGGCTTCGTGCACATCTTCCCCTCGCAGAAGTACGCGCAGTACCTCGGTCAGTACACACTCAAACACCTGCACCTGGTGCGGGCGGTGCGCGCAGTATGCGTGGCGCGGCGGCTTCGTGCGCATCTTCCCCTCGCAGAACTCCTGGCAGAAGTACGTGTAGTACCTCGGTCAGTACACACTCACACACCTGCACCTGGTGTGGGCGGAGCGCTCGCAGTACGCGTGGCGCGGCAGCTTCGTGCGCATCTTCCCCTCGCAGAACTCCTGGCAGAAGTACGCGCAGTACCTCGGTCAGTACACACTCAAACACCTGCACCTAGTGCCGGCGGTGCGCGCGCAGTACGCGTGGCGCGGCCGCTTCGTGCGCATCTTCCCCCTCGCAGAACTCCTGGTAGAAGTACGCGCAGTACCTCGGTCAGTACACACTCAAACACCTGCACCTGGTGCGGGTGGTGCACGCGAAGTACGCGTGGCGCGGCGGCTTCGTGCGCATCTTCTCCTCGCAGAACTCCTGGTAGAAGTACGCGCAGTACCTCGGTCAGTACACACTCAAACAACTGCACCTGGTGCGAGCGGTGCGCGCGCAGTATGAGTGCCACGGCGGCTTCGTGCGCATCTTCCCCTCGCAGAACTCCTGGCAGAGGTACGCACAGTACCTCGGTCAGTACACGCTCACACACCTGCACCTGGTGTGGGCGGTGCGCGCGCAGTACGCACGGCGCAGCGGCTTCGTGCGAATCTTCCCCTCGCAGAACTCCTGGCAGAAGTACGCGCAGTACCTCGGTCAGTACACACTCAAACACCTGCACCTGGTGCCGGCGGTGCGCGCGCAGTACGCGTGGCGCGGCGGCTTCGTGCGCATCTTCCCCCTCGCAGAACTCCTGGTAGAAGTACGCGCAGTACCTCGATCAGTACACACTCAAACACCTGCACCTGGTGCCGGCGATGCGCGCGAAGTACGCGTGGCGCGGCGGCTTCGTGCGCATCTTCCCCTCGCAGAACTCCTGGCAGAAGTACGCGCAGTACCTCGGTCAGTACACACTCAAACAACTGCACCTGGTGCGGGCGGTGCGCGCGAAGTACGCGTGGCGCGGCGGCTTCGTGCGCATCTTCCCCTCGCAGAACTCCTGGCAGAAGTACGCGCAGTACCTCGGTCAGTACACACTCACACACCTGCACCTGGTGCGGGCGGAGCGCTCGCAGTACGCGTGGCGCGGCAGCTTCGTGCGCATCTTCCCCTCGCAGAACTCCTGGCAGAAGTACGCGCAGTACCTCGGTCAGTACACACTCAAACACCTGCACCTAGTGCCGGCGGTGCGCGTGCAGTACGCGTGGCGCGGCGGCTTCGTGCGCATCTTCCCCTCGCAGAACTCCTGGCAGAAGTACGCGCAGTACCTCGGTCAGTACACACTCAAACACCTGCACCTGGTGCGGGCGGTGCACGCGAAGTACGCGCGGCGCGGCGGCTTCGTGCGCATCTTCCTCTCGCAGAACTCCTGGTAGAAGTACGCGCAGTACCTCGGTCAGTACACACTCAAACAACTGCACCTGGTGCGAGCGGTGCGCGCGCAGTATGAGTGCCACGGCGGCTTCGTGCGCATCTTCCCCTCGCAGAACTCCTGGCAGAGGTACGCACAGTACCTCGGTCAGTACACGCTCACACACCTGCATCTGGTGCGGGCGGTGCGCGCGCAGTACGCACGGCGCAGCGGCTTCGTGCGAATCTTCCCCTCGCAGAACTCCTGGCAGAAGTACGCGCAGTACCTCGGTCAGTACACGCACTCAAACACCTGCATCTGGTGCGGGCGGTGCGCGCGCAGTACGCACGGCGCAGCGGCTTCGTGCGCATCTTCCCCTCGCAGAACTCCTGGCAGAAGTACGCGCAGTACCTCGGTCAGTACACACTCAAACACCTGCACCTGGTGCCGGCGGTGCGCGCGCAGTACGCGTGGCGCGGCGGCTTCGTGCGCATCTTCCCCTCGCAGAACTCCTGGTAGAAGTACGCGCAGTACCTCGGTCAGTACACACTCAAACACCTGCACCTGGTGCGGGTGGTGCGCGCGAAGTACGCGTGGCGCGGCGGCTTCGTGCGCATCTTCTCCTCGCAGAACTCCTGGTAGAAGTACGCGCAGTACCTCGGTCAGTACACACTCAAACAACTGCACCTGGTGCGAGCGGTGCGCGCGCAGTATGAGTGCCACGGCGGCTTCGTGCGCATCTTCCCCTCGCAGAACTCCTGGCAGAGGTACGCACAGTACCTCGGTCAGTACACGCTCACACACCTGCACCTGGTGTGGGCGGTGCGCGCGCAGTACGCACGGCGCAGCGGCTTCGTGCGGATCTTCCCCTCGCAGAACTCCTGGCAGAAGTACGCGCAGTACCTCGGTCAGTACACACTCAAACACCTGCACCTGGTGCCGGCGGTGCGCGCGCAGTACGCGTGGCGCGGCGGCTTCGTGCGCCTCTTCCCCTGGCAGAACTCCTGGCAGAAGTACGCGCAGTACCTCGGTTAGTACACACTCAAACACCTGCACCTAGTGCCGGCGATGCGCGCGCAGTACGCGTGGCGCGGCGGCTTCGTGCGCATCTTCCCCCTCGCAGAACTCCTGGCAGAAGTACGCGCAGTACCTCGGTCAGTACACACTCAAACACCTGCACCTGGTGCGAGCGGTGCGCGCGAAGTACGCGTGGCGCGGCAGCTTCGTGCGCATCTTCTCCTCGCAGAACTCCTGGCAGAAGTACGCGCAGTACCTCGGTGAGTACACACTCAAACACCTGCACCTAGTGCCGGCGATGCGCGCGCAGTACGCGTGGCGCGGCGGCTTCGTGCGCATCTTCCCCTCGCAGAACTCCTGGCAGAAGTACGCGCAGTACCTCGGTCAGTACACACTCAAACACCTGTACCTAGTGCCGGCGGTGCGCGCGCAGTATGAGTGGCGCGGCGGCTTCGTGCGCATCTTCCCCTCGCAGAACTCCTGGCAGAAGTACGCGTAGTACCTCGGTCAGTACACACTCAAACACCTGCACCTGGTGCGGGCGGTGCGCGCGCAGTATGCGTGACGCGGCGGCTTCGTGCGCATCTTCCCCCCGCAGAACTCCTGGCAGAAGTACGCGCAGTACCTCGGTCAGTACACACTCAAACACCTGCACCTGGTGCGGGCGGTGCGCGCGCAGTATGCGTGGCGCGGCGGCTTCGTGCGCATCTTCCCCTCGCAGAACTCCTGGCAGAAGTACGCGTAGTACCTCGGTCGGTACACACTCAAACACCTGCACCTGGTGCCGGCGGTGCGCGCGCAGTACGCGTGGCGCGGCGGCTTCGTGCGCATCTTCCCCTCGCAGAACTCCTGGTAGAAGTACGCGCAGTACCTCGGTCAGTACACACTCAAACACCTGCACCTAGTGCCGGCGGTGCGCGCGCAGTATGCGTGGCGCGGCGGCTTCGTGCGCATCTTCCCCTCGCAGAACTCCTGGCAGAAGTACGCGTAGTACCTCGGTCAGTACACACTCAAACACCTGCACCTGGTGCGGGCGGTGCGCGCGCAGTATGCGTGACGCGGCGGCTTCGTGCGCATCTTCCCCCCGCAGAACTCCTGGCAGAAGTACGCGCAGTACCTCGGTCAGTACACACTCACACACCTGCACCTGGTGCGGGCGGTGCGCGCGCAGTACGCACGGCGCAGCGGCTTCGTGCGGATCTTCCTCTCGCAGAACTCCTGGCAGAAGTACGCGCAGTACCTCGGTCGGTACACACTCAAACACCTGCACCTGGTGCCGGCGGTGCGCGCGCAGTACGCGTGGCGCGGCGGCTTCGTGCGCATCTTCCCCTCGCAGAACTCCTGGCAGAAGTACGCGCAGTACTTCGGTCAGTATACACTGAAATACCTGCAAAAAAAAAACTCAATTACCTAACAACCGAGTATATCTTGACATTTTTGTGTTTATTTTTTACTTATTATAAACTAGTGCTTGGTCACAATCACACCTGGTAATAAGCGGTGATGAAACCATAAATGGTAAATTGTACTGCCTCAGCATAACAAAAACCTATTAATTCTTGCCTTAAAACACCCAGATTGCATTCGGGTAAAAAGACAAAAGCCGATAAATTATTCCAATTAAAAGAACAGTCACAGCGTCTGACAGAAATGCAACCACAGATATAAAGTTCAACCGTTGCATTGGAAGAAAAAACTCGAAAAGTAACATCAATAAATATATAAAGAAATAAAAATATATTAGATTCGGTTTTCAACTATACTTTTTTATTTATTTTTGGGTAAATAATCAATAGCACAATAAAACATTTGAACAACATAGATGATAAAAATAATCTTAACAATTGTGACACCCACTACATTTACCACAGCTTACATATAAAAGTATATATGTAATTATAAACGCGCGAATAGTTGATAAGTAGTGTAATTGTATTGTTGCGCGCCTAAGTAATATAATAATATGATGTCTGGTACCTGGCACTAGCGCCATCTAGTGTCGGGGAACAGAGCGAGGAGGGCTTCCTAGAAAATGCCAATCTTGAACTTTCCACCAACAGCGCCATTTGTATCAAACAGAAGAATTAAGCTTTCTAGAAAGCCCAACACTCGAACTTTCTGCGCCTGGTCGGTCGGCGCCCGTATTTGCTAGAATATTCTGAATGTTTCGGTGGAAGAGCCCTATATAAAGTCGTTGATAGCCGCGATCGGGGCAGTATTAAATTTGGCGATACAAGCGAAGCTTCGGAGCGAAATAAAGTGAATCAGTGTGATTAATTATTAGTATCTTTTAAGTTTTAATTGGTGTTCGGTAATAAATAGTGTAAATTTTGGTAATTCAATCGGTAGTTTTTATTGTCACGAACCTCGAGCTCGTAACAGTATTAACAAATCAAGAATTTGCGTTTTAGAGATACTACGTGACGTGATGCCGCAATATCTACGGAGTTAAAGTTGATATTGTGTGCGTTTGGCAGAAAAAAGCGCTAGCAAGCGCTTACAAGCGCTGAAATAGTTTTCGGCCAGGACACGATTGCTATTTCAGTAGCGCTGACACAATCCGCCATTTTGCTTATTTAATTTGTTTGTTTTGAAGTAGAGTTTTTAAGTTGTTTTGTGCAATATTAGTTTTAAGTAATATAATAACGTGAATAAACATATACATGTTATTAAAAATTCATGATTGATAAGTTTTTAATATGAATACTTTACAAACATATATTTAAATTAGGTTAGGTTCCCCGGTTAAAACTAACATCGTGTCTGGAGGAAAATAGCTACTTACGATTTGACAGCGCTTACCGCTTACGATCGCCATTTTGCTTACAAGCGCTTGCTAGCGCTTTTTTCTGCCAAACGCACCCATTGTACGACTGTACAATTCGACACAGAGAAGGCACGCTTATCGAGCGTTTGTAAAAAGTTGGCAAGGATTGCGACAATGTGTTCTAGTGGGTATTTTATAATAAAGTTTATCAATTAAAGAAATACACTCGTATCTATTGTGGCACAAATCGTAAAGCAACATTGTTTTCGCCTTAATTCTAATGTTAGTATATTATATTTATCAAGAAATTTCTCGTAGGATAAACGATTATGAAAACATTTGTAATGCATACTATACAAAAATTTCTTCTGAACTTCTTCAGGAATCTTAATATACATTGATGTAAAAAGGATTCCAAATGGGCGAGGCATATTCCAGTTGAGAGCGAATTAAAGTTTTATAAAGATGAAAGAAGGTGAATGGTTGTGTAAAATTTGGGGTCGACCTCTCATGACAAATCCGTACATTTTAAAAGCTTTTCCTATTATATTGTCTATGTGTATATGATGGTGTAGATAACTGTCCAACGTTATTCCGAGATCTCTAATTGACAACAATTTCGACCCGTATATCACGTAACCTATATATAAAATTGCCTCTTTTTTATCCCTTTTTATTTTTATTTGTACATAAATCAGTATAGTAATCATATATAATATAATATAATATAGTAATCATATATAGATTTTCAAAATATTTACTATTTATAGTTTTATAGTGGATAGTTATTTGTTTTGTATTTGTTACACGTTATTATTAAAAACGTTATAAAGTAGACCTCATTACTGAAAGATTTTTTTGGATTCGTAGTGTTGTACTTTTCCCAGTGTCAAGTATATTATGTAATTATCCATTATCTTTCTTTTTAAAACTTCATCATAATTATGTTGATGGGGGTCGCATTGTGAAGTTTTTGGGAGATTTTGATGGCAGCAGACAGTCTATAACGATAACATCTCAAGGCACTTAAGCAGACACATTATCTTGAAGTTCAAATCACCATCGGAGCATTTGTTGCACCGTTTCCACTGATAGCTCACATGCGCACACATTAAAATAATATTTTGAATGCGTACAGACCCAGTAACCGGCATCCCAGTGTGCTCGACGTCGGTGAATAGCGGCGCTCCGTATGCGGTGCTGCAACACAACTACAATTTGCTCGTGCACGCGCACGTGTTGCCGCGCTCACGTCACGCCGACACGCAGCCGGACACCGATACGCCGCAGAGGTACGTGCACACAAACACATACACCGCACACACACATGCATATACACACCGCACATACATATGCATACAGATATATGCACCGCACAAATTCATATACATACTGCACAAACATACACATATACACCTACACAAATACACACACCGACACTCCGTAAAAATACTAGTGGAATGTCAGTTATGATGATTTGAATGTGTTATTTTTAGCTGTCTTAAGTTAACTTTGGTAGGTTGTAGTCAATTAATTATATGCTGATTTTTACGCGCTAAACAGTTAAAAATGCAACAAGTTAGTAATGGTTACACCAGCACCACCCAGAATACGTATAAAGCGTCCATCAGCATAAATACATAAACGCTGAATATGTAGTAATTTAAGTAGACTGTAAGCTTAGGATTAGGAATTGTAAAAAGGCAATGGTCAGAATAAATTCACATCTCTCTCTGTGAACACGTAGTTTTAATTAGTTTTTAAAAAGAACTCGGCAGCTCCTGTAACTTGACTAGTTAAAGAATACAGCACTGTTGTATTGTTTTGTGTTTATATATAAACTAGAAATGGAGAAGCTTTTAATAAAGTCGTAAGTTTTTAATAATGATTACACATCTGCGTAACAAATAAGTTAACCTTAGTCCCAACCAACGACATTTGGTGATTGTAAAATTATTAGTCTTCATTGGTGTGATGGTATACTAGTGGTCCGAGATATGGTATCGTGTGGGCGTCATACAATATGTGTTTTTTTGTGGTGCACCACAACCTGCAGGTTGCAGCGCCACGAGGTGACGCGTATGGCGCGTGTCTTGTAGCATGTGTGTATGCATGTGTGTGTGGGGTGTGGTGCTACTGTAGGCGTGTGCGCAGGCCGCAACGGTACGTGGTGGCGCGTGTGGCACGTGTCATGTAGCATGTGTGTATGCATGTGCGTGTGGGTGTGGTGCTACTGTAGGTGCGTGTGCGCAGGCCGCAACGGTACGAGGTGGCGCGTGTGGCACGTGTCATGTAGCATGTGTGTATGTATGTGCGTGTGGGTGTGGTGCTACTGTAGTGTGTGTGCGCAGGGCGCAACGGTACGAGTGTGGCACGTGTGGCACGTGTCATGTAGCATATGTGTATGCATGTGTGTGTGGGTGTGGTGCTACTGTAGGCGTGTGCGCAGGCCGCAACGGTACGAGGTGGCGCGTGTGGCACGTGTCATGTAGCATGTGTGTATGTATGTTGCGTGTGGGTGTGGTGCTACTGTAGGGTGTGCGCAGGCCGCAACGGTACGAGGTGGCGCGTGTGGCACGTGTCATGTAGCATGTGTGTATGTGTGTGTGGGTGTGGTGCTACTGTAGGCGTGTGCGCAGGCCGCAACGGTACGAGGTGGCGCGTGTGGCGCAGCACGTGTCATGAGATGGTGTGTGGTGGGTGTGGGGCTGTAGGTGTGTGCGCAGGCCGCAACGGTACGAGGTGGCGCGTGTGGCACGTGTCATGTAGCATATGTGTATGTATGTGTGGGTGTGGTGCTACTGTAGGTGTGTGCGCAGGCCGCAACGGTACGAGGTGGCGCGTGTGGCACGTGTCATGTAGCATGTGTGTATGTATGTTGTGTGTGGGTGTGGTGCTACTGTAGGTGTGTGCGCAGGCCGCAACGGTACGAGGTGGCGCGTGTGGCACGTGTCATGTAGCATGTGGTGTATGTTGTGTGTGGGTGTGGTGCTACTGTAGGTGTGTGCGCAGGCCGCAACGGTACGAGGTGGCGCGTGTGGCACGTGTCATGTAGCATGTGTGTATGTATGTGTGTGTGGGTGTGGTGCTACTGTAGGTGTGCGCGCGAGCCGCAACGGTACGAGGTGGCGCGTGTGGCACGTGTCATGTAGCATGTGTGTATGTATGTGTGTGTGGGTGTGGTGCTACTGTAGGTGTGTGCGCAGGCCGCAACGGTACGAGGTGGCGCGTGTGGCACGTGTCATGTAGCATGTGTGTATGTATGTGTGTGTGGGTGTGGTGCTACTGTAGGTGTGTGCGCAGGCCGCAACGGTACGAGGTGGCGCGTGTGGCACGTGTCATGTAGCATGTGTGTATGTATGTTGTGTGTGGGTGTGGTGCTACTGTAGGTGTGTGCGCAGGCCGCAACGGTACGAGGTGGCGCGTGTGGCACGTGTCATGTGCATGTGTGTATGTATGTGTGTGTGGGTGTGGTGCTACTGTAGGTGTGTGCGCAGGCCGCAACGGTACGAGGTGGCGCGTGTGGCACGTGTCATGTAGCATGTGTGTATGTATGTTGTGTGTGGGTGTGGTGCTACTGTAGGTGTGTGCGCAGGCCGC